AGAGAGAGAGAGAGAGAGAGAGAGAGAGAGAGAGAGAGAGAGAGAGAGAGGCGTTAGGAAGAGGAGTGGTAAGAGGAATAAAGGAAGGGAAAGAGAGGAAATGGCAAAGCTTAGATGTAAAAGGGGTGGTTGAAGGAGATCATATGACCCAAGGCGACCGCTGCCCCATCCAATGCCAATACCTCACTCTATGCCATTCCTACGACCCCCCCGTTCACTGCTGCGGACGCCGCTGATCTGTGCTTCCACCCAACAAAGCAATGAAAGGGAAGGAACTCTCCACACAGACTAACACCACCCAAATCTATGTAAACAACCTCCCCCACCAATGACATGGGGCTTACCACCACTAGATCTACTCTAACAAGCTCAGATCTCAGCTTCGCAAACCAGAACTAACAAAGAAATCGAACCAAAAGGAATAAAAAAGCTTCAAGTGGTTCTCAACCTTCCAAGAAAGCAGAAGCTAGCTGTGATTTGGCCCTCACTGCAAGAACAAGAACTACAACGGACTTATGCAGTTTAGCTTATAGCTTAGCTACGCTTTTTGTGATGCACAAAAAGTGAGAGAAGACAAAGGAAACCTAAGATCGGAGAACTTGCGCTCTGCGCGTGAAGGGAGGAGGGGGAGGGGGCGGAGGAGGGAACAAAACCTGTTGTTGGCGTACTCGAAGAGGCGGCCGCGGCTGGAGAAGACGACGAGGGCGACCTCGGCGTCGCACAAGACGGACAATTCGTAGGCCTTCTTGAGAAGGCCGTTGCGGCGCTTGCAGAAGGTCACCTGCCGGCTGGTCGTGTTCTCGATCCTCTTGATCTCGATCTTCCCTCGCCCCATCTTCCCCGCCCTCTCCAGCGTTCCGATCCTTTAATCCCTTCACCTGAAACGGTAGAGGAGATGGATGGCGAGGTGAGCCAGGGTTTTGGCGATCTCAAGTAGTCTATGCACGCAGCGAGATGGCGAGAGGGTTTGAGGTCGAAGCAACAACCTTCGCTTTTGCTTGTTCCCGCTCCACTTCCTCCTCCTTCCCTGCCTATGATTTCTTTGTCTCAATCTATGGGAATTCCTGCTACGGTGTAGCAGCAAATGCAAGGGAAGGACTGCTCATTAATTGAGGCATCCCTTGCCATCAGTTTCGTGCATCCTATGATGGTGGGGGCTAGAGAGAGAGAGAGAGAGACTTCTTGAAAACGATCGCCAATGTGGTGTGCGTTAGAATTTGGGTTGAGTTGCACTCAAATTGACATTTCTGTGAGCTAAAGTCAATAGATTTAAGAGATTTGGGGAAGAACACATTGGTTTAGTTTGTGGTGGCCAAATCCGTTTCTTTTCTTCTACACTACATTACTTTTAAATGATTAATCCTCTTGAAATGCTTTTATCCAAGCATTTTTGTATCGCGAGCTATATTAAATGAATGTATTTTTATTAATTAATAATTATATATTACTTCGATAAAGAATAAGATGAGAGAATATAGTTTATGATAGTATGAACATGTGCGATACGGTAGTCAAAAAGAGGTGAAATGATTAATATTAATGATACAACGAAACGAAAGATAAAGAAAAACATAAAAAGATCTTAATAAAAATTATAAATAAATATTTAAATATATTAGACTTAACTATATTATAATTCTTTATATATTTCAATGACGATAAAAGAATTTATTATTATTGTATAGTATTATTATATTATAAAAAAAAATTCTTCTACTTTGTGAAAATTCTCTGTTTGCAAATTGATGATAAAAGATAATGGACACTATGAATCACAATAAGGTGACCAATTAGGAGTAATTGCCTCCAATAACATTAAAATGATCTCTATAGCTATTGCTATGATATGCCTCCTCTTGTGGATTTCTAGTATACTACAAGAATGGACTCATCCTTCTTTATCTAGCCATCATGTGTCTCGATTTATGCACCTAAAGGCTAATTATTCTACATCGGGGCGGCTATGGCCTACTGTTCATGTTTACATACTACGTGGGCATAAGTATATGCCTCTCTATGTGTTGCTACATTAAAAGACTTGCCTTGAGCACCTATTGTTGGTTAACCTTAATTGAGGCTCTACCCATAGAGGCAATGTTAGAGATGAGGCTCAAACGAGCTTTCCCTATTAGTTCTTATGTGGTATTATTATTACGTGACTTGAACTCGAGTATTCGATGACATTTATATGACAATTTAATTCCATGTCGTCTTATGTGTGGATCTCACATATATATATATATATATATATATATATATATATATATATATATATATAATATATATATATATATATAT